GTCAAGGGTAGGGACCACAGGAGGTTGGCTCCAGCAGTAAGCTAAGGCATGGCCAATTCTGTGAGGTGCGGGGTGCGGGTGAACCAGATTCAGGGCCGTCAGGGCCCTAACAGCAAGGTCTGGCTCAGTGCACTTCATAGCTACTGGCTGGTAGTCCGGTCGTTCTGGTTGTTCTGATTGTTTGGTCGTAATGGTCACTTAGGCTTTTATATATATAGATGTGCTTTTTCTCTGGCCATATACTATAGGAAGTTAAAGTATAGAAAAGGATATTATTAAATTTATTTTTTTCTGGACTACAGGCATTGTTCCAATTTCTCTGATGTTATTATTTTTCAAATCGAATAAAAATCAACTTGAAAAAAAGATAATTAAAATGAACCAGTTGATGTTGTCATTTTAAATATCTTGCCCATTTAACTAATTTGTTATTTTTGCATTGTACACTGCAGTCTGTCAGAAGACTAGCTCAGTTTAATGCATTTGATTTTCTTGAGGTATTTGTCTGAATTAGAATATTAGATACTTAATGTCCAGCATATCCTACTGATCGCTGCACCTGCCTCTGAGTCATTCACGTCCTCTGGTGTGCAATAGGTTTTATGCAGTGCTTTATTACTCCTGTTCTTGCTGTTAAATTAAGCACTAAACTTAGAATGCACATACACTAAAATAATTGGAGTCAATTTTCAACCAGTTTAATGTAAAAATGTAAAGCCAAACTCATATACATTGCCTTTAATTTACAAAACCTTAGGCAGGTGTTATACATATGAAGATGTTGGTGCCTTCGTGTTTCTCAGAAGCCAGCACCCTGCTTTTTTATTTTTTATTTCATTATACCTTTTAAGAGGGATGAGATAAGGAAGTGTATCAGTCATCAACTATAAGTGCTCTCATTGTAATGAATCTGCAACATGATCTGTACAGTGTGAAAGAACAGTGTTTTGCCACAAGCAATAAGTCATTTAAATGTATATTTGATAATAAGTAAATTTATTATATCTTGTTTTTGCTGATTCAGATTTATAGCTATGACATAAAATGTTTTATTTTCCCAAAATGTTTTAAGTTATTGCAATATTATCTTAACTGATAATGTATGCAGGTGTACATTTCAAACTATAAGATGCTGACTTTTAGAAGCCACTTACTAAAAAATAGGAACCTGTATTTAGTATAAATCTATATTATATAATTTAAGGCAAAATGAATAGGTTTTATTACAGAAACACTAGTTATAGTTGCCTGGTAGTTGAAATTCCCAGAATTAGTTATGTGAGACTATCAATCATTTTATTTGTAGTTGAGCAGAATCAAAGTTGATAGTATCTTTTAATGAATTTTTATAGGATCTGCAGTTAGAGAAAGTAACCTATCATCATTTGCCATGCTTATAGTTCTTTAATCATGTATAAGAGTATGGTCTTAGAAGAAGGTATTTTAGATTAAATGTTGCTCACTTCCTACACAGTTTTACATAATACTTGACTATAATTTTTTAAAATTCTTTTATAGCAGTAACACCATCAATTATCTTTATATAGCTTTGACAAAATATGGCTTCTATGATTTTTTTCTTCTCTTTTTTTGACTATGTGTTCATTTTAATAATAAATTTGTTTTTCTTTGTTATATTTAGTATTAATTGCAAATATATAAGAATTTGCAGATTTCTTTTGGCATAGGTAGTAAATTATAATTACTTTCAGTTACCAAATTGACTACTTTCTATTATTTTATGCTGGTTTATTCTTTCATTATTTAACAAAGACCATATTTATTAATTCTTTTTTCTCCTAAATTTTGAGACTTAGATATTTGATAACATAGAATTCATGTTTTTGCATTAGGTTTTAAAATAAATGTTGAATTTCAAAAATTCAAGGTAAATTATCTTGGGATGAAAACAAAAAGATAATATGATAATTTATTCATTGAGCAAATATTGAACACCTAATGTACTAGTCACCATTTTAGACACTGATGTAAAACAGTACTTCAGGTTCATTTAAATTTTTGAGTACAAAATCTCAGACATATGCCGAAGCAATTTCTTCACTGATACAGCTCCTACGGCACTTGAAACTAAAGAGAAAATGAACAAATGGGACTACATCAAAATAAAAAGCTTCTGCACAGCAAAAGAAACCATCAACAAAACAACAAGAAAACCCACTGCGTGGGAAAACATATTTGCCAACGTCATATCTGATAAGGGCCTAATCTCCAAAATTTATAGGGAACTCATACAACTTAACAAAAAGAAGATAAACAATCCAATCAAAAAATGGGCAAAGGACCTAAATAGACACCTTTCAAAAGAGGACATTCAGAAAGCCAAGAGACATATGAAAACATGCTCAAAGTCACTAATCATCCGAGAGATGCAAATCAAAACAACAATGAGGTACCATCTCACACCTGTCAGAATGGCTATCATCAACAAATCAACAAACGACAAGTGCTGGAGAGGATGTGGAGAAAAAGGAACACTTGTGCACTGCTGGTGGGAATGCAGACTGGTGCAGCCACTATGGAAGACAGTATGGAGTTTCCTCAAAAAGCTGGAAATGGAACTCCCATTTGACCCTGTGATCCCACTTCTAGGAATATATCCCAAGAAACCAGAAACACCAATCAGAAAGGATATGTGCACCCATATGTTCATAGCAGCACAATTCACCATAGCTAAGATCTGGAAACAGCCTAAGTGCCCATCAGTAGATGAATGGATTAGAAAACTGTGGTACATCTACACGATGGAATACTATGCTGCTGTAAAAAAGAAGGAACTCTTACCATTTGCAACAGCATGGATGGAACTGGAGAGCATTATGCTAAGTGAAATAAGCCAGTCAATGAAGGAAAAATACCACATGATCTCACTCATTCATGGATAATAAAGACCATTACAAACTTTTGAACAATAATAGATACAGAGGCAGAGCTGCCTCAAACTGATTGTCAAACTGCAGTGGGAAGGCCAGAGAGGGTTGGGGGGCAGAAGGGAGGGGAGTAAGAGATCAACCGAAGGACTTGTATGCATGCATATAAGCATAACCAATGGACATAAGACACTGGGGGGTAGGGGAGGCTAGGGGATTGTCAAGGGTGGGAGGAAAAAAGAGACATATGTAATACCCTTTGTAATACTTTAAGCAATAAAAAAAAGAATAATGAAAAAATAATAATAAAATAAAAAAATAAAGAAAAAAATAAATTTTTGAGTGTTAAATTTTTTTTGTTTTTTTTTAAAAATATATTTTATTGATTTTTTACAGAGAGGAAGGGAGAGGGATAGAGAGTTAGAAACATCGATGAGAGAGAAACATCGATCAGCTGCCTCCTGCACGCCTCCCACTGGGGATGTGCCCGAAACCACGGTACATGCCCTTGACTGGAATCGAACCTGGGACCATTCAGTCCCCAGGCGACGCTCTATTCATTGAGCCAAACCGGTTAGGGCGAGTGTTAAGTTTTGATATTAAATTACCAAGTGTTTGGAAGTAAGCAAAAATAAAAATTACTATTCTGTTCTCATTATTGTTGACTACTTAATCTTTAGGTAGCTTTTTATGATGGAGAGATATGAGTTTTAAAATCAGCAGACTTAAAATTCTAGTTATGGTTATGCCAATTCTATAGCATAACTTGGATCTTTCTGAGCCTCAGTTCCTCATGAAAACATGGAAAACAGAGGTTGGATCATTTATGCTTAGGGTTCTCCACTCAATGGTGTAGAAATGGAGAGCAGAGAGCAATTTATTCATATTCACACAGTCAGATCAGTTATATTCCCAGCTACTTTTCGTAGCCTTCTTTGCTGTCTCCTCTTCCTTTTTCCTCCCTGTGATTATTGCAGAGCCAGAGGACTCACTTCTCTGATCTCATCCATTCTCTATTCTATCCTTATTCCCTGGGTGAGCTAATTTAACTTAATGGCGCCAGGCTCATGTTTGAATGCCCCCAATTGGTTGTAAATAGTATGGAGCTTCCTCAAAAAACTAAAAATGGAACTCCCATTTGACCCTGTGATCCCACTTCTAGGTATATATCCCAAGAAACCAGAAACACCAATCAGAAAGGATATATGCACCCCTTACCACATCTGAAACAGAACTCTTGATTTCCATCAGGAAAGCAACGCATTCTCAAGTGTTCTCCACCTTTGTCAATGACTTCACCTTAACAGAGTATTTAGGCCCCAAACCGAGAAGCACCCTTGCTTCTTTTCTGTTCTTCACACCACTCTTCCAGGCCATCGGCAGTTTTTGCCATTTCAACCTTTAAAACCCTAATCAATTCTTATTTCCTCTGTCTCTATCATCTTAGTCAAAAACTCTTTCCTGGAGTAAATCCCTTTCCTTCCCTTGCTTTTCTGTAGCTTGTTTTCCACATAGCAACCAGAGGAATTCTCTAAAAACAAGTCATATAATGTTGTTTTCTTACTCAACACCTTCCGGTAGCTTCCTACAAAACTCTTTACCATGTCTCACAAGTTCTCTGACTTGATTTCCTGCTATTTTCCTTCTCACTCATTCCCCTTGATCTATACAGACATTTCTGTGTTTTGCCACCTGCCCTAGCTTGTTTCTACCTTGGCCTTAAAGCAAATTTAAAGACGTTTTAAAAATTACCTTTTCCTGAAGTGTTCTTCCTTCAGATATATATTGTTATTCATATACCTATATCATTAAAATCAGAAATGTTTTAGAAAATGTATATTTTTAAATGTAACAGCTCACAAAAACCTGGTGTGGTTATGAGTGTATGGTTCTGTGTTTAGAACCTAAAGATTACTATTAATAATTAGTGGCAGTCACCAGGAGCTGGAAGAACCTGGAGCCTCTGGAGGGAGCTTTGCTCTGCCAACACCTTGATTTCAGCCCAGGGATACTGACTTCCGGTCTCCATAACTGTGAGATAATAAATTGCTAATTTAAGGCAAAAAAAAAATTAATAACAATGCAAACACACACACACACACACACACACACACCCCAAAAAACAAAACAAAACAAAACAAAAAACAGAAAGGATTTTGAGGCCTGCTGAGTTATAGAAAATGCCATCTGTGAAAAAGGTTGATATAAATATTTTATGAATGAACTCTGACTATTTCCATTCATTATTAGGAAAAAGTCCTGGATGGAATTTTTTTTTTTTAAATATATTTTATTGATTTTTTAGTGAGAGGAAGGCCAAGCCGATGCTCTATCCACTGAGCCAAACCGGTTTCGGCCCTGGATGGAATTTAACATTGTCCTGGAAAGTTATTACAAATGCCTCCAAAGAACCCTACAGAATTGCCACTTAGCATTAACTCAGGATTATATGAAAAAGACATTCTGCCTTATTATGAAATAACTGGTTTTTGAGAATAGAATATACATAGGCAAATGTTAGAAAATATTCTATAAGTGTGTGAAGTGTGATTGAAGACATATTCAACCATAATAATTGTATGTATTACTGAAGACAAAATTTAACTATGTAGTATTACTTAGCAATTACTTTTGCTGGCACAGTTTTCAGATATTGTTGCCCATCTTAAAGTAAAATTGATTTCTGTTTCTATAAAAATAGCTGATGATTGTAAAATGCTTAATAGCCTACAAATGTTTATACACATTACTTCATTTAACCCTTGGAACAACCTTGTGTGAAGTAGGCACTAACATCCCTGCTTACAGAGGAGGAAGTGGAGACTTGGTTCATAGGAACTACCCTGAATCGCATAACCTGTAAACAGTGTCGTTTGAGTTCAGACTTAGGTCTTCTGATCCCGAAACCAGAGCCCCTTGCACAACATAATGCTCAAGTTGAACAAGCCAGATGAGAATAGGTCCAAGACACAGTGGCATCTCTCTCTGAAGCATCTGGGAAGAACTCTGTGTTCCTTCTTGACCTGAGTGATGGATGGACTAGAGCTAAGTGTCTTATGATGCTCAGCAGTCAGTAGCCAGGAACCTGATTGCAGTGGAGTCTGCTTACTATGACTGTCAGATTTTTCTTTGGATTCAGAAGAACCTTAAAAGTATCTTTTAGACATTACACAGCACACACACACACACGTATTTTATATTGTGTTATATATTTTATATACTATTTTACATTATATTTTTATATATGTAACATATGACATTGACATTTTAAAAATAAAATATATTTACTTTAGGAATATGATATATTTTGTTTGTCTCATGCTGTCTTTCTCTAGAGTATAAGTCATGAGGAAAGAACTTTGGTTCACCACTCGATCTTTTCATCTAGAAATATGCCTGGCATCAGTAAATGTTGAAATAAAAAAGCAACTGCTGTGTACAGTATGGCGAGTGTAGTTAACAAGGAAAAGCAAATGCTTTTCAAAGAGAGGCTTATTGGGGTCTAATTGTCTGTGTGAGTTAGTGAGTGTTCTAGTTTAATTAAAATAGTCATTAATTTTTAGTGACTGGAAAACTAGATCTTATTTCTGATTTCTTTTCTTTCTTTTTCTTCAGAAAGAATCCTCAGCACAAGATAGAATATAGACATAGTACACCTCCAAGTAAGTAATTTTTCTTCAGGAAACTCAAAATGAAACCTTTAAATGAATCTCTTATTAAACCTATATACAGTTTCCAGTGATTATGAATTTTTCCCAAAATCTCTCCTGTGAATTTGTCAAATTGCTAATTTTAATGATTTTTATTAAATAAAAATGTAAGTATTTATACAGCAAATATTTCCTACAATCATTGTATAACAATATATATTTGTCCTTGCATCTGTTAGGATTTTTTTCTTTGTAAGTACCCGGAAACAAAATTTCAAATTGGTCTAAACAGTACAGAGAACTTGCTCACTTCTATAATTGAAAAGTTCAAATATAGGACTAGATAGACATAATTTATGCTTTGGCTCATTAACATTGTTAATAATGTCACCAGTGACCCAATTTCCTTCCAACATTCTGTCTTTAGAGAGGTCAGTATTATCCTAAGACTGGCTTGTCTTCCCATCCTTATTCAGCTGGTATGGTAAGTACCCACTTCTACATCTAAGGAGAGAGAGAGAGAGAGAGAGAGAGCGAGCGAACAACTTTGACTCTCACCATTCTAAGAAAAAAATCATAAAATTCACTTATTTTTTACTAGCTTAGATCACATTCGTTCTCTTGAACCATTCACTATGCCACTGATTAGTTTGTACCAGCCCTGGAACCAGGGTAGAGTCACCTCCTTCAGAACCACAGAGATCCCCAATATAAACTCAAATTTGGGGAGAAGGAGAAGAAAGAGGAATAGACACTAGACAAACAACTATTAATGTCCGTCAGTCCTATTTACATCAGTCTGTTTGACCTTCTGTTTCCCCTCCTTCTGAACTGTAATATAACAAATTCTGGCTTATTTGTATCATTGGCAGAGGCTAGTTAAGCGCACAATATTTCTGCCCACAGAGTGAGAGAATAAAATGCATACTTCCAGACTATGCCTTACGTGTATCTGTATGTGTATAAACACAACCAACTTGTAACCAAGTGATAAAAATGATTAATTTCACCATTGGGAATTCCATTTGATGGTTCTGGCTGAAACATACTTTAGTGCTTTACTACTCCAGACACCAGTATACTCATTTTATCTGAGGTAATATGTATGGAGATTATATGTTATACTGTTTTTACTGAGGCTGTATCTAATGATGTAGCATTTATGGTTGTTAACTTTCTTTCCAGCAATAATGTAATAATCTTGATTAAAATTATATTTTATTGATGAAGTTTAGCATTTTTCTATGAAAAAAGTATTTGACACATCTGTGTATCTTCACAGAAATAGGAACCATTTTCATAAATACTATCAATATGTATCATATGGCATCATTAAAAATATTTGAATTTTCTTTGCAAAATCTCTTTGAAGTAAAAATATTTTTATTTCATTAGAAAGACTTTTTTTTAAAAAAAAAGTACAGATATTATTAAGCAACATTTAGTCTTATGTTTTTAATGTACTTTCAAAGGCTCTGTGGCAACATAATTAGAATATCTCTTCCTACTCCAAAACCTACAAATTAAGGTATCTGGAGTATTTCAAATATTAATTTAAGTATTGAGGTCTCATATTTTTTAATTTAGTGATATCTGACAGAATTATAACATTCTTGTTTTCTTATTTCCCAATCTTTAAAGTTTAACATTACCCAAGATCTTAATCTCATTTATGTAATGTTCATTTACTCACACGGTCATTCATTTATTTATTATACGTCTGACAAGTGGGCAAAGTTACAGAGAGACAGGAAAACCAGCACTGAGTTGACTTGTTTGTGGTGAGATGCTCCAAAACCTGGGGTTATCAGGGTACACTAGAGGTGCGAATTTTAAGTTAATGTAGTCTTTAAGGTGGAAGGATTTCAGTCATCTTTGTTTCTTGGCTTGTGGTGAGTGGGTTTAGGACATCCCAGACACAATGAATAATAGATCAATCAAGGACATCAAGGTAGAAAATGGTAAGTTGTGTTTGAGTTAGCAAGATTTCCCTTAGGAAACCGAGGTGATTCTTACGCTAATGAAAATTGTGCAGCTTACAATGTATCTCCTTTTTAGCTACCAAGAAACTTGATACTCAAGTTATAATAATTATGTTAAAATTGAGATTGACATACATTTTACTTTTTATGTTTTTAAATTCTATTTGTATTTTTTTAATCACCTCTATTATTATTATTATAAGCTGTCTCAAATCCTCTCTGGAATGAGTAGTGATATTAAGAAAAATATAAATATCTATTTCATGTGAACTTTAGGATAGGAAGACATTAAGTAAAACATATGGAAAAACATGGACATTAATATTTCTTACCCATACATTTGCTTTTCACCACAGGGATTGTCCTCTGCTATTCAGACGATTTCCAGATAGAATCGTCCTACTATATACATATTGATTTCAGAGAGGAAGGGAGAAGGAGAGAGAGATAGAAACATCAATGATTATTGATCGGCCTCCTTCACGCTCCAAACTGGGGATTGAGCCTGCAACCCAGGCATATGCCTTGACCGGGAATTGAACCGTGAACTCCTGGTTCATAAGTTGATGCTCAACCATTGAGCCACACTGGCTGAGCCTACTTGTTTCTTAAATGCTCCATATCTTCCCAGAGTCTTTCACTGCCTTACTTTAGACCAACTCTGATGCTCACTATGGAAGGAATATAAAACAGTGGGATGAGGGAAGAAATTAATTTGGAGATAAGAATACTAGTATTATAATATTAATTAGAAATCTATAAATTCTAAATGCTGTTACCATAGTAATCTTACTTGTATAATGAACTGTAGAATATCATAGATTTATAAACTAAACTTTCCAAAAGTTTAGTATGTAAACTTTGTATCTTCTCATTTGATTACAGCCCTCATGCATCAGTCAGATTGTGCTAGGTTTGCTGTGATAATCCCCAAATTTCAGTGCCTTACACAAACACGAGATGTATTTCTTCTTCACTTCCAGCTGCGTGTTGGCTATGGCCTTGTCCCAGCTCGGCGTTCAGGCTGGAGGATCAGCTCCTGCCTGGGACCCGCTGTTCTCACAGCCCAGGGGACATCATAATAGCAGAACCCCAGAAAGGCTCTGCCAGCTTCTCCTTGGGAGGCCACACACCACTTCCACCCACTTGTTTTGGCCAAGACTGGTGTCACTGGGGATGGAGAAGTATAATCGTATCACAGGGAGGGGCAGTGAATAACTGGGACAGAAATACACTGTACCATCCCAGAAGGCAGGGTGGCCTGGATATGATTACGATATTATGAAGGAACCGTTATTATGAATCTCATAGGACATTTTAGTCTCAGGAGCCTTATGATAGGAAAAGCTAGAAATAATAAATAGCAAGTAGTCATTTTAGTCCCCTTTCTAGAAGTGTGTAGTGATTAGCTGTATATTAGTTAAAATGAATTTTTCTTGACGGAAAAGGGCACTTTACAGTTAGCTATCTCTAATCCCAGGTTGAGTGGCAATTCATGTACCAAACTTCTGTTTTTCAGTCCGAAACACTGTGGATGACGACAAAGGGCAACCCAATGAGTACGACCTGAATGACAGCTTTCTAGATGACGAAGAAGAAGAGTATGAGCCCACGGATGAAGATTCTGACTGGGAACCCGGAAAGGAGGACGAAGAGAAGGAAGATATGGAAGAGCTTTTGAAAGAAGCAAAGACATTTATGAAAAGAAAAAAGTAACTTGGTTATGCAATAATACATAGCTCACATTTACTATTTCTTTATGGAAAAATATTCAGAAACTAAGGAGGCACTTAAGCAATAATTGTTTTCCTTTTTATAGTGATGACTTTACTATTGACTATTGACTCTTTGCAAATGAAACATTGAAATGTCAACCTTCAGTGTAGTCTATGGAATTTTTTTTGTTGCTTTGCTTTTTCTATTCTATTTAAAGCATCTAGAAGTGGAAAGTAGACAGAATTAAAGACAAGTAATTGATATTTTTCACGTGCTTTGTCTGCTGGTTATAAAAAGTAAAAAAACCATAGGTTGCACAAAACTTTGGTCTTTTTTTCTATTTTCCAAAGATTCTGTCTTTATAGAATACTGTGCAGGTATGACCCGGCAAATTACATCATGGGTGGAAAAGCATGCCTCTTTCATTGCTATTGAAGTAATTCTTCAAGCAGAACAGGCTTTAAATGTAAACTTTGTATCTTCTCATTTGATTACAGCCCTCATGCATCAGTCAGATTGTGCTAGGTTTGCTGTGATAATCCCCAAATTTCAGTGCCTTACACAAACACGAGATGTATTTCTTCTTCACTTCCAGCTGCGTGTTGGCTATGGCCTTGTCCCAGCTCGGCGTTCAGGCTGGAGGATCAGCTCCTGCCTGGGACCCGCTGTTCTCACAGCCCAGGGGACATCATAATAGCAGAACCCCAGAAAGGCTCTGCCAGCTTCTCCTCGGGAGGCCACACACCACTTCCACCCACTTGTTTTGGCCAAGACTGGTGTCATTGGGGATGGAGAAGTATAATCGTATCACAGGGAGGGGCAGTGAATAACTGGGACAGAAATACACTGTACCATCCCAGAAGGCAGGGTGGCCTGGATATGATTACGATATTATGAAGGAACCGTTATTATGAATCTCATAGGACATTTTAGTCTCAGGAGCCTTATGATAGGAAAAGCTAGAAATAATAAATAGCAAGTAGTCATTTTAGTCCCCTTTCTAGAAGTGTGTAGTGATTAGCTGTATATTAGTTAAAATGAATTTTTCTTGACGGAAAAGGGCACTTTACAGTTAGCTATCTCTAATCCCAGGTTGAGTGGCAATTCATGTACCAAACTTCTGTTTTTCAGTCCGAAACACTGTGGATGACGACAAAGGGCAACCCAATGAGTACGACCTGAATGACAGCTTTCTAGATGACGAAGAAGAAGAGTATGAGCCCACGGATGAAGATTCTGACTGGGAACCCGGAAAGGAGGACGAAGAGAAGGAAGATATGGAAGAGCTTTTGAAAGAAGCAAAGACATTTATGAAAAGAAAAAAGTAACTTGGTTATGCAATAATACATAGCTCACATTTACTATTTCTTTATGGAAAAATATTCAGAAACTAAGGAGGCACTTAAGCAATAATTGTTTTCCTTTTTATAGTGATGACTTTACTATTGACTATTGACTCTTTGCAAATGAAACATTGAAATGTCAACCTTCAGTGTAGTCTATGGAATTTTTTTGTTGCTTTGCTTTTTCTATTCTATTTAAAGCATCTAGAAGTGGAAAGTAGACAGAATTAAAGACAAGTAATTGATATTTTTCACGTGCTTTGTCTGCTGGTTATAAAAAGTAAAAAAACCATAGGTTGCACAAAACTTTGGTCTTTTTTTCCATTTTCCAAAGATTCTTTATAGAATATTGTGCAGGTATAACCCAGCAAATTACATCATGGGTGGAAAAGCATGTCTCTTTTCACTGCTATTGAAGTAATTCTTCAAGCAGAACCAGGCTTTAAAATTTGACAGCCATCATATAATAGCTAGCATTTTTCTAGTATCCTAGATGCAAGCTTTGCATTTCATCGACTATTTTATTCTTTGAAACTTGGGGACATTAGTACCAAATGGATACTGAAAATAGATTCCATAAGACTATAGAAATGTTCACCATGCAGGGAATGTTACTTAGTGCCCCACATCTGTAATTTACTGTGTGTCTGAGTTTAAAGGTGGAAAAACTCAAAGAATTTGAGTTTCTTTCTTTTTCAAATGAAAATCCTGCCTGATTATTTTAACTTTCAATGTACTGTTTTTACATTAAGAATATAGAAATGATTTTTGACCATAATTTTCTCAAAGGACCTTAGTTCTTTCATCCTCAGATGAAGCTGGCAAGCTATCTGGCCTTTTATTTGTTCTCCAGTGTCATGAACTATGTCTCTGTATCTCTGTTCCCAAACTGCTTTAAGCCCAGTAATAATCTCATCTCTAGTGACTTAGAATTTTTGAAATACAGTGTAGAATCTTTAATAATAGTTGGGTATATGTATTGGAAATAATAAATCACTAAACCAAGTGTCCTTGTTAAACACTAATATTTTCTATTCTATAAGAACCGAAAAATGTATATATTAAAAGAGCAACACAGATTTGTAATGGTTTTCTTAGTGTTTTTAAATCTTTCCCAGATAACCCTGTGAGGCCTGTTGGGTGGTGAGTTTGGGAGTGGGAGGTGGAGAACATTATAAGGAAAGACAGGATGAACCAGCTGGTACCGCATCTTCACCCTTTACCCGGAAGGAATCTTCTCACCTTCTTCTGGGGCCCCTTGGCATTCTCTGATGTTCACCCTCAGCCGTAGACACTGAATGTCTGGGTTCTCCTGGATGTCTCGGTGCTTGGACTCCTGCACTGTGTCAGCATCATTAGGGCAGCAGGTGAACACCAGAGCGTTGCTGTTCTGTGTATTGTAACAGGGCAAGGGGGAAAGCCAGGCTTTCATCTCATGGTCCTGCCCCCTGGATAAGGAAATGCGGGGTGAAGAATGTGAGCTCATTATGACTCTGAACAATCCCCATCCCAGTGCTCACATTGGAAGTCCAAAATATTTCCTAATTGTGTCACGGCCAGCTAATGGAAGTATAGCATTGGAATTCATCTCTTGTTTTGAAAGAGAAATTTATTCCAAAACTGAGATGAAGCAAAACGTGTGCCCAGCTGCAAAAACTCACCTTTCTTTGATGGTGTTGATAACTAAGTGCTAACTGACAGGAGATAAAACCCTGTTGCAGGTGTGACTAATAGCCACGAAGCAATCTGCCTGCCATTTTCTCCTTAGATGTAGCACTTGTTTCTGATTCGAGGTTGACATCTCAAGATGGCCACAATCATCCAGACCTACAGTGTCACGGCCAGCTAATGGAAGGATAGCATTGGAATTCATCTCTTGTTTTGAAAGAGAAATTTATTCCAAAACTGAGATGAAGCAAAACGTGTGCCCAGCTGCAAAAACTCACCTTTCTTTGATGGTGTTGATAACTAAGTGCTAACTGACAGGAGATAAAACCCTGTTGCAGGTGTGACTAATAGCCACGAAGCAATCTGCCTGCCATCTTCTCCTTAGATGTCGCACTTGTTTCTGATTCGAGGTCGACATCTCAAGATGGCAGCAATCATCCAGACCTACCTAACCACCCTGCCGCCTGATGCAGAGAGGGCCCTTTTGTGACTTAGCAGATTTACTGATGTGTGAAATAAGCAAGTGTCTGGGATTAGTAGTCTGGACATTTATGTAAACATCCCCTACTCAAGGGTACATGTTTGTTCTCCCCAAGCTTTGTTTTTCAAACTGGCACCCTAGCTGTCATCTCCCTAAACCAGTAAAAAATCACACCCAAGACATTTCATTTTAACAACACAGAAATATCACTCCTATCAGAATGATAGTGTTAAGAATGAAATTCCACTCAACACACCATCATGCCCTGACAGTCACCTCCAGTTCGCTTTAAAGGACTTCTGAAGTTTCCTGGGTGGAGGCTGCCCATTTCCGACAAGTCCATGTCCAGGAGGGGACCTCTAGGCCCCTGTCTGGGCTCCATGAGCCTGCCTCTCTGATCTAATCCAGGGTGAGCCCAGGCCCCAGCCAGGCCCATCAGGTGCTCCTTCAGGGAACCTGCTCAGCCTGTGGACAGACAGGAGGAGTTGCAGCTGGGGTGCCTGGCCCTCCAGCACTCTGGGGAGCAGGTCCCCAAGACTCCATTGCTGAGGCCTCAGAGGTGTCTCGTGACGGGTCAACCTTTCCTTTCTCTGAACTACCCCAGGATCTATGTTTATTTTCCTTTAGCTAGTCAGGATTGATTGTTACATCCAGCAAAAAGAAAAGAAGAACGTTGAATTATTACACTACAGTATAAATTATGATTGAGCTATGTAATCAACACTACAGTTTTCATTTTAATTAAGGAAATGTTAGTGTTAACTTATGATCTTTCTTTTTTCTCCAAAAGTCAGTAATTAAGTAGGCAGACAGAGGTAGAAATGTTGAAAAGTCAGTGTTTACCTTTTTAAGACATCTGATATAATGTTGTAGCAAGAATTTCTGGCATTTTGCCGAGTAATGAGTCTCCAAGTTCATTCTATTCGACAAGTGCTAATTCAATGTTCCCTAAGGTCTAATATGAATAGGGACTTCTTAAAAGGAAAATGTTCTTGTAGATCTCACGACCCCAGTGTGTGGAGTGCTACACCAGCATTTATTGAGCTTATTTTTAGAGATTTAAGTTTTAAGTTTAAACTGCCACAGTTAGGGGTGAAAAAAATTGTGACTAATTTATTATAAAATATTAAATGAAAATCTATAAGTACATAGAGATACTACTAATAATGCTTTTTTAAAGCAAAAGTAAGAAAAGGCTGATTTTTACTAACTCCTTACTCTGGAAAATTTTAACAAACATATTCTGCCTTTGGGAAGGAACTGTATTTCATCCTCAGTAGATGAGGGAATATTTTTTTAAAAATATGTATTTATTGATTTCAGAGAAGAAGAGAGAGGGAGAGAGCAAGAAACATCAATGATGAGAATCATTGATTGGATGCCTTTTGCATACCCCTGCTGGGGATCAGGCCCGAAACCTGGCATGTGCCCTCACCAGGAATCAAACAATGACCTCCTGGTTCATAAGTCAATACTCAACCATTGAGCCACACCTATTGGGTAGAAATATTTTTATGGTAGAATGCCAGCGAATAAATGGAGAAGGAATGAAAGAATGAGGAAATCACCATTTTCTAACTCCACAATGTAATAATTTATTCAGGCAAGGATCATTAATAGACCTTGAAAAATATCATCCCCCAGATAAATTACAAATGAGAAAACATAGCTTTACGTTAGAGGGGTCAGGTGTCACCTGTCAATAGTGGATGGTCTGGCTTTAGGTGCTTCTTAAAGTAATGTTCTTGCCAAAGTGTTTCACTACTAGTAAGTTTAATCAAGCCTTTGACCCTAACTCTCAGGAAAGAAGAAATATAGTAGATAGAGGAACATGGTAAGTGACACCAAAGCAAAATATAATCAGATAAATACAAAATGTGAGCAGTTCTACCTGATCTCTTAAAAAAGACAATGTTCTAAAAAAATAAATGAGGAACCCTCTAGACTTAAAGAGAATAAAAATCATAACTACTCCATGTAATACATGAATCTGAATTTGATCCTTGTTTGGAAATAAACCAGCTCTAAAAGGTATTTTTAGGACTATTGGAGAAATTTGAATATGAATATTAGACGATGTTAGGAAATTATTGTTAATTTCCTGGGCTATGATTAAAGTATTTTGATTTTGAGGGAGAATATTCTTAATTGTAGGAGACACAAGCTGAGGTGTTTATAGCTGAAATAGCATAATATTTTTATCTTATTTTCATTTGGTTCCATTTATACACACAAACACAGATAATGCAGATATGGCAAAAATATTAATTGTTTAATTTAGATCATGGGTATCCAAGTATTCATTATACTATTATTATAACTTTTCTGAGCGTTTGAAAAAAATGTTTAAATCTCAGAACAAAATAAAGGAAAACATGGGGATGATTTTTTTAAAGAAGGTGATGCATAGCTCTATCCCAGTTATTCTGAAAACAAAAGAACCCTATGTTAAAAATATTGATTATTTCAAGTTGACCTCATTCTTTTAAAATTTTAATTTTGTTTGTGTTTTAAAGTGCATATAATATATTAATATCGTGGTGCATGTAAAAACTTTGTGCCAAGTATTTACATAAATACTTGATATGGGGAAATACACATGCTCAAAATTTTCTTGCTCCTGCAGTGTACAATAAAAATTATTTGGAGACCACTTCCATGCCTACCATGCCTCATGTTTCCAGGTCAACTTTTGAACTGCTACCAAGGCAGGTAGAATAACCAACCAGGATACAGGTTTGTAGAGCAGAGAGAATTCATTCATACAAGAATACAAGAACCTAGGTGGGGACAGCCCTCTCCTGATGACTCAGGGGGCTGTCTGATGACACCTTTCCTTATGACTTGGGTGACTGTGACATATGGACTCTTTCTTCTCTGTTGTGAACCCCAGAGCCCAAGTGCCTGGACTACTGAGAATGGAGTTCTGTTTCTGGTCCAGGAAAGAAATTAGGATATTGGAGGGGGCAGGGGGCAGGGGGCAAGAAGAGAGCAGGGGATTGCCTGGGAGTCAGGTGTCATTCCTTTCCTAAAATACCCTCAACAGACTTCCATAACCAACAGTAGCCTTTCCCAAATGGAATACTGATTCTGTAGGATGTTTATAGGTGAGACTCAAAAAGGAATACAATGATGAAGTTCGTGAAAAGCAAATTTGCACCGTGAATCTTCAAAATGGGGTTTATAGAATTCACTGTTTCTAAAACTTATATGAACATGATTTTTTTCTAGAAATTCTGTAATGTTCATTCACTCCTTCATTCAACAAATATAGTTTAGTAGCTATAACTGTGGCAGACATTGTTCTTGTCATGGTAGATGCAGAAATGAATAAGACGATATTTTTTCCCAAATCTGTGGCAGACATTGTTCTTGTCATGGTAGATGCAGAAGTGAATAAGATGATATTTTTTCCCAAATGGAGCTTATCCTATATAATAAAAGGCTAATATGCAAATAGACCAAATGGCGGAACAACTGGAACAACTGAACAACAGAACAACCGAACAGTCACTATGACATGCGCTGGCCACCAGGGGCATGTGCAGAACATGGCGGGCATTGGCTGCAGTGGGATGGTGGAGCAGGTGAGTGGGGGCACCAGACCAAGGTGGGGCACCAGTTGCTGTCATAAGGGTGAGCCTCTGGTGGTTACTGAAAATTCTTTGCTCCTGTGTGCCACGGTCCCACCGAGCACTCACACCTGCTGCCGGCACCAGCCCTGCTTGCACCCGCTACCGGCACCAGAGCTGCCACTCACACCCACTGCCAGCTTGCACCCGCTGCCAGTGCCCAGCACCAGTCCCGATCACTCGGCGCCATCAGTGGGTGCGAGCGGCAGCTGCTGGCCTGATCGCCCCTGAGGGCTTCTCCACCTCCCCCTGCTACTGAGGGGCGACTGGGGCAGCAGCTGCTGCTTGCACCCACTGATGGTGTCAGCCCCAATCGCTCCATGCCGTCAGCAGGTGTGAGCGGCAGCAGCAGGAGCGGGGCTGCCAGCAAACGGGACTGGGGCCGTGGAGAGAGGGGATGGGCAGGGTTGCAGAGGATGGACTGAGACCTGCCCCTGTGCCTATCCCAGCCTCATGGCCCACAGTTCCTTTCAAGGTTCACGAATTCATGCACTGGGCCCCTAGTATTGAGATAACAGCAAATAAGCCAAGAAAACAGTGACTATGATAGTAGTGTAGTAAGTGCTATAAAAATAAAACAGGGGAAAGAGAGTGGGGGAGGGGGTTTTGGGGGGTGTTAATGCTGGTGGTTATTTTAGAAAATGTCCCTGCAGAGTGATATTTGAGAAGAGACCAGAGTGAAGCAAGGTAATGGCCATGTGATGATCTGGGGGAAGTGCATTCTCAACAGAGGTACAAAGACCACAGGGTAGGAAGGAGCTTGGGGAGTTCCAGAAACATCAAGCAAGCATTGCCTTAGGTAGAATGAGCAAGGTAGAGAGGAGACATGAGGGGTGAGAGACCTCTCACTTTGGTAGAGGTAGGCAGGAGCCAGGTCATGGGACTCTTCAGAGAAGAGTGAGCATTTGAGGGATTTTGTAGATAATAGACTGAGTTATAGTAGGTGAGCATTTGGGGTTGGGAAGGAGTGAGAAACTGAGTTAGATTTGTATACATGCTGAACATACAGAGGTAAGTTAGTAGGTGAGAAATGAATGACCTGGCGTCTTGAAGTTGACTGAGGCAAACAGGAGTGAGAGGCATGATGGGATAAATCTCATAGAAAATAATTATCTCCACTTGCAGCTGCTGACTCGGATTGCAATGTGGGCAGCTCAGGCTTGTGGTGTCCTGGAGGAGGGGAGGAGAAAGTATTTGCAGGGGCATTCAGAGCTCTTTGGGGATCCTTTATTTCTACCCGAGGGCCTGTCCCATCAGGGAAAAGGTGGTCTCCCGAGGTGTGCCATGTGAGTCTGATTCCGAGTGTAGGGACTGTGTTCTCTTTTTCTCACATTATACTTAACCCTGTGCTGTATGGTTGATCCTCCTCAGTAAATGTTTGCTTCAGTGAAATGCATTTAGACCTTGTGACTTTGAGAAAATGAATACTGGAGAAGAATAAGTGACTTACACTATCACCAGTAAATCTAAGTTCATATCACCTGAGAGAAAGATAAATCTAGAACACAAGAATTCTTATAAATATCTCTATCATAATCATTAATAACACCCACATTAGTAAAAGTTAAAACACTTCAGATAAAAATAACAGACCTTGTGTTCATATTAATTAAATGTATTCTTACATATGTGCTGATATGTATATAAGAGATATTAAACTTAAGAATAAGACCTTCTTTGGTGTTAGGTGTGAATGCCTTTGTATTCATTTTTTAAATTATGATATTTCTATATAATTCACTCTAACTCAAAAAAGTCATTTCTTTCCTGTGGCCTTCGTTATGTTAAAAAAAAATTTTTAAACTTTTCAAAATGGGATTAATCATGCCCTTTAAGTAGTTTCTCGAATTGATGACAGGTTAGCTAACATTCCTGAACTTTTCTACACAGCTCATTCACTCCCTGTCAGACAGTAAACTCAGAAAGCATTTCTTTCATCATGATGATTAGAGAATATGTATTGGACGAAAGTAACAAAAGTATCATTGTCATTTCATTTTATGGCTGGAAGAAGCTTTCAAATTTCTTGGGAAGTAACGTGGGCTGTGGAAGAAATGTTGACTATAATTTGAGTCAATAATGGGTTGCTTCCTCTGTTATGACCCCAGGTGTAAAGGTCCATAAAAAATACAGAAGAACATTCATCAGTAGCTAGGCAATAACTTAATCTTTTTAAAAAATATATATCTTATTGATTTTTTCCAGAGAGGAAGGGAGAGGGATAGAGAGTTAGAAACATCGATGAGAGAGAAACATCGATCAGCTGCCTCCTGCACACCTCCCACTGGGGATGTGCCTGCAACCAAGGTACATGCCCTTGACCGGAATAGAACCTGGGACCTTTCAGTCTGCAGGCCGATGCTCTATCCACTGAGCCAAACTGGTTAGGGCAATAACTTAATCTTAAAGAAGTGTTGGGGTATAAAAATAAAAAAATATTGAAATTCTATAATATGCTTAAAATTTCTTTTTTTCTGAAAAATCAGAGAAAGACAAGCAAAAGGCACAATATAAAATCTCTCACTGCCACCTATTCTAATTTACAATTGGTAAATTAAAGATTCAAAGAGTTTAAGTGAATTCTTCAAAGTTACAGAGAAAAAATAGTAGTAAGTGGTGGTTCTAAGGGAATGGCAGGTGATTTAGGCCCTTTCCTCATTCATTCTATGTCAATAGCTCAAAAACTCCTTTCCAACCTACCAAGTCCCTCTACCTTTGAAGCTGCCCCT